GCGTGGGTAACGATTTCGTAACCTCGTCCACATACCCATCCTGAAGGGAACCCAAGTCATCTTAAAATGTTGTGATTTTCCACACTCCAAATACGCATTCTCCCAATATTAAAAAAAAATTTATTTTATGATTATATACGTATAAAATCCAGATTGGTGACACAATAAAACGGTAACTGGTAAAATAGTCCGTATTTAGTAAAGTATTAGTATCAGCATTTAAAGATTGGCAACATTTCCGATCATTTGACTTACTAAAAAAAGAAAATATATTAAAAGTTTTTTTACTTTAACATTAATATTATATTGTACGTGTTCAAAAAAAAATGTTTATTTTACATTTAAGGAAATTAAGGAAATTGTATATTAATGTGATATTTCGATCAATATTAAAAAATTAGCATTGTGCCCTTTTTTATCTTTAGATTTTCAAAAAGACTTTTTGACAATAAAGAAACAATTATTATTCTGAATTATCTTGATTTTTTAGTGGTGACTAAGTATCTTTACGTTTTCAAAAAAGATATGTTGGCTTTTTTTTTTTTTTTTGATGAAGAAATCAATTCTGTAGCAATCAAAGTATCTTTACATTTTCGAAAAGGACATGTTGGCTTTTTTTTTTGACAATAGAGAAGAAATCAATTTTGTTTTTTTATATATATAGTAACAACCAAGTATTTTTTACATTCTCAAAAAAGACATGTTTGGCTTTTTTTTTGACAATAAAAATCAATTCTTAGTAACCTTTACATTCTCAAAAAAGACATGTTGACTTTTTTTTTTGACAATAAAGAAATTATCCTGTTTGTTTTTTTTGTGGTGATTATGTATCTTTAGATTTTCAAAAAAAGACTTTTTGACAATAGATAAATAAATTATCTTTCTTAAAACGAAATTCATGAGAAATTAATATATTTAGTTAAACTGTTTAATATTTTATTTTTTTTTATTAAAAATTATAAATATTGCCTTTGTTACACATTATAATGTGATGATATTCAAAACACTCGTATACCATGCATTAAAAAACACCAAATTCTGCGTAATTTCCGTTATAATATCTATGCATCCTGTAGTAATTCTGCGGTTTTGCGATTTTTTTTTCAAAAAAAAAACGAATCTATAATTAAAGGATTTGGATCAAAAAGAATAGTCACGCGATCATTAAATTAGTTATTATCATTATTATTTAATTATTGTTATTTAAAAATTGTTACAAAATAGAATCCTAAATTACTACCATTAAAATAAAGCACATTTAAACTTCACAAAGACTCTTCAGATAAATTCTATCATCTAAAATTTCGTTCTACATTACAAGAAGAAATCGGTAACCATATACAAATGCTATTTGTCTAATGCAACTTTTATATTAAACGTAGATCCACAATAAATTGTCCATTCATTTTTTTTAGATTCAGAAGAAGAAAGTGAGGTATCAAATGTTTGTTGAAATTGACATTGATATACAGATTTGACTTTCATATTCAATCAACAGAGTGGTCACAAAAGTCACAAATTAAAATTCCATTGTTAACATGAAATTCACCAGGATTTTCTTCTACTCTAGTATTGAATGTAATGTACTTCTTCTATTTATCATGTTATATCAAAACAAAACAAATAGCAATTAAAATTTAATTGACAGTCCATTGATCAATGATAGTGATAGAAATTTAATTTGTGAGCCTTTTAACAAAATATAATTTAAATAGCATTTCTTAAAAAAAAAAAAGGGCATTAAAAGAAAATCAAAAATTTGGAAACAAGGGAGCGGAACAAAATTCTCCAAAAAAATATTCATGCAGGTCATGTTGACAAAGGTGATCAATATAATGCCCAAAGTGTGTGTGTATTGAAAATGGCTGAAGAAAATGTAATTAGTCAAGAATCAATTCCAAAAGTAGAGTTGGATTACTTGTTATTCTGCAGCATGCAAACTGAACATCAAAAAATGTTCTTAACAATAATAACAATGAATAATTCATAATAAGTTTTTTTTTGAATAAAATTCTTTATTCATCATTATTCATATTTTCATAAAAATAATTGAGAATTACCATTAAAACTAGCAACATTGTGTTTACATTGTCGCAATTACATTATTATTTCTTTCATTATTTTATATATGTTTTTACATGGAGCCCTTAGTTGCCAAAGTGTAAACTATTTATTCTAGTACTGTAATATAAGAAAAGAGAAAATTTTATATTTTTGAATAAATCAAGTCCCTATTCACAAAATTCTATCACTTTATGGATATATAGAAAGTCAGTACCGTACTGAGCTTTGAAATTTTTTTTCAGACTTTCTATATATATGTCTGGAACACAACTATCTGCGCCACAACGCCAATTTTATGATCCCGTGGTTTTTGAAGATCTTCAAGCAATTTTAATTAAAATACTTGGGAGTGAGAATATTATGCATAAAAAAAATTAATATAATTTTGAATAGTTGGGATGTGAAGCATCCTAGCATGATATAGTTTTTCGTAAATAGACTATTTCGTGGCCAAATGGTGGATTGGCGAGTAACTCCGTAATTTTATCATATAAAACATTTAATAAAGTTGACAAAATGTAAATTTTAAGGCTTTACGTTGTCTATACTTATCAAATTTTCTCAAATTTTAACCATATACAATTCGAGATATTTTAAGAGGGCTTACTTAATGACGTAATCCATGATTCAACGGAGTTTTGAAGGTTTTACTAAGCTTAAAGTTTCATAAAAATCACGGATTTTTTTGTCTAATTTAAAATTTTCATCCTAAATTTATTATTAATGCAAACTCGACGAGACTTTAAGTTTATATGCAAATTAACTTTAATCATGTTTACTTAATGCGCCAGTCCTGGTTTGATTAATAAAATTTTGAACTGCATAAGGCGTAACATTTCCGATTATTAAAATGATCATCAGGTGGTCGGATATTTATGGTACAATGATAATATTTTCGAATATTTGATTTATTAAAATGTCATTAAACAATAATCTTTCGTTATTCGTTTCTGCTCTCAGTGCAATTACTAATACTCAAGTCATTACTTGTAACGATTATTTGAAAAGTTGTGATAATGATGGAGATGAAATTCTATTAAAGCGAGATGATTTGTTTAAAATTTTCTTGCCTAAAATCATGAACTTAGGTAATTCGTCATTATATTTTCTCTTTATAAAATAAATAAATATACATATATACAAAACAAAAAATAATTTTATTATTATTATTGTTATTTTGCACCATGTTTATAAAATATGAAAGAAAAAGAAAAGGACAGTGTTAATATTTTTTCAAATTTAGATATGAGAAAAGATTTATTAGATCCACAATTTAATTTTGATTATGAAGGTATTGAAGACATTAAACAAAATATAGGAGGATTTGAATATAAAAAACCTTATGGATGGAAAAGAATTGGATTAAATGTTTTAGATAAATATGATAATGGTAATAATGAATGGATTGGATTTGATGATAATCGTAGACGTAAACCTAATACTAATGAATGGCCAGTTTCATATCACGGCACAGGCAAATACAATTCAAATTGTATTGCACGAGATGGATATAATTTGTCAAAAGGAACAAGATTTGCATATGGCCATGGAATTTATTCAACACCTGATATCAAAATAGCTGAACGTTTTGCCAAAACATTTGAAATTAGAAATCACAAATATCTAATTGTGATTCAAAACAGAGTTAACCCTAAAACTATGAAGAGAATTAAAATTGGTGCTGGGATTGAATATTGGATTTCTCCTAATGATAAAGATATTAGACCATACGCAATTTGTTATAAAAAAGTTGATTAAAGTTGATTGAATTTATATTCTTTTATTATGTTATTGTTTTTAAATAATTATTATTACTATCATTATTTTATCAATTTTAAATTAAATGTTTTAGAATTGTTAGTATTTCACAAAAAGAATGTACCATAAATATATTTACCCACCTTTTAATAAATCATATTCTGATATTGAGTGTAATCTATTATGTCAATGTTTCTTTTATATATAAATTATGTACAATGAATTAATTCCATTAACAAGTAAACCTTGTTACACTAAATCAGGAAGATCCAAATCCTCCTATGTATAGCTAGTTATCATTGCTGCTGGTGCCATCAGCTAGACATATCCTGCCACAATTGAAATGGCAGTAGAGATCCCTTATAAATGGATCAGGTCTTTCACCATAAGTGTTTGTGTGCAAAAAAAATGTTCCTTATGTTATGGGCAGCATTAACATCTTCAATTCCGATGTGTTAGACAGACCAGAATTTTTTGATGCTTATCAAACCACCCATCAAACAAAGAACACACCGAAGAAGTATGGAAATCACCAACCCTCACCACCTTGCAGTGTCTAGAAAGTTCTTGGTGAATTCTTTTATAGGACCTGGAGCATGCCCATGTGATGTTGATGAGAATTTACATCACCAAATGCAACAACTGTTAATATTTGTTATTCTCTTGCACAGAATATCAAAGGCCTTCTGTTTATTAATAAAAGATTTCCATTGCAACCAATGCCAATGATGTTCATCACAAAAATCAAGGATTGTATCAAGGTAAAACAGAATGTAAGCAAGGTAATTATATTCATAGACATTAGTGACATCAGGGATTAGAATTTCTAGGTTTTGTATTGGTATAGGTGAAAGGTATGTAAGTAATATTATTCAATGATATTCTTGTTTAATAGCAAATTAAATTAACAAAATATAGCTCACCTTGAATAACAGCCTGAAGATATTCATTTTTTTTCCAACCACAACTCACATTTTTTATAAGCACAAACAAACCTGCTAAGTTCCAGTACTCCTTGTTGGAACAACTCACAACTTTTTCATCTGAACTCACCACCATAAACAGATCTATTCTTCCAGAGTCCAGTCCAAGTACCTTGCATCCATTCAAATCAATATTTGATCCTTCTTTGTCAGCATCCTCTTTATTATCATCAACTTTCTTTTGCAGACCATCAGTTTGTATGGAGTAAGCAAAGATTTAATTTTGGATGGTTACATATAAGGTTGTGGGCGAAACCTCTTAATGACTGTCGAAACTCTGTCGAAACTCTAATGAACAATTAATGTGTAACCTGTCGAAACTCTGATGATTGGCGAAAACCCCAAATGCGAAACTCTGCTGAAACTCTAATAAACAATTAATGTGTAAACTGTCGAAACTCTGTCGATTGATTTCTGGAGGAGTTTCTCCCGCAACCTTAGTTACATAACAATTTAACAAACACAGTCAATCATTTCTTTTAATTAGTAAATGTTGAAATTTTATATTGAAATTCCTTGGTTGATAAAGGATCTGTGAATTAAAATTTTGCCCCTCCCTCTCTAAGTTTGAACAGCCTAAAACGGGATTGACAAAATTCTTTAATTGACAATCCATGAACAAATCAGTGAAAAAGTCCCAAATTTATTGTGCAAGAGCTCTATAATTATATTTTACTACATTAAACTATATTAATTTTTAGATAAAATTATTTTTGAGATTTACTTTATTCATATATAAAAGGATATCATTCTATGGTGCAAAAATAATAATACAACTTTTTGTGCAAAGATTGATGATTAGCAATTTAATTAGTAATTTACAAATCTGTGTTTCTTACAATTTCCTACATAAGAATGTTTTTTTTCATCACACTTAAAATGTTTTTAAATAAAAATTTTTTTTTTTGAGATTAACTAATTTATATATAAAAGCTACATCATCCTATGGCACAAAAAGAATAATACAACTTTTCGTCCAAAGGTTTAACAATTAGCAATTTAATTATCTAAATCTGTGTTTTTTTGATTACTAAATTATGTTAGTTTTTGGATAAAATTATTTACTTAATTTACCAAATCACCCTGTGGCACAAAAAGTATATGCAACTTTATTATTATTAATGTAATAAATAGTTATTTTCAAAAAAAAAATTTTTCAATTTCCTTTCGATTTCCTTTGACAAATAATAATTCTAAATCATTATGTTTTCTTCGCAATTTCAAAAAAGGCACAGTCATTTTTAATAATAGAAATAATAATAATAATAATAATAATAATAAAAATCAATTCCGAATAATAATTAATGATTATACATCTGTTCTGAAGATCATTCTTTAATTAGCAACAATGACACCTACCGGTTCCTTCCAAACATTAACACCATTCAAATTATATGTACCTCACTCACTACTTTACTTTTGTTGTAAATAAAATTATCAGTTTCTCCGGCTTTTGTTTTATTTTATTCCTGATTAAAAGAATTAACTTTTAGCTCCTGATGGTGTATTCCAAAAATATATTTTATAAGTATTGAAAAGAAATAAATTTATCAGAAAATATTATCGCTGTTATATGCAATTATATATACTCACAATATTGGAAAAGCAAAAACTGAAATAATGAACAAAGGAATTTTTCGCCTACCATCTGAATTTAATGATGATGATCTTGGTCCATGGGATGTTCTACTTAGTGATTACGCGATCAGAGATATGCGAGGGTTGGAGCCTCTCGCGATTAATGCTGTCATGGTGAAACTCATGCAGATATCAAGTGGAAAATGGAAAAAATACAATCTCCAACATACAGTACAATCTCACTCTCACATCATACCTATTTATGAGACGGAGCTTCCAGATAATGATGGCTTAAAAATTCTCTGGCAGGTTGATTATGGATTTTCTGTTCGTAACAATTCATTTATGCAGTATGCGAAGGTTGGACAGTCACTGCGAACCAAGAGCAAATCAAAGATACATTAAAAAAATACTGAATTACTTCATAAAGTCTACACTTCCGAGCATAAAAACCGCTGCATATCCCAACATATCAGTAATATCATTTTACCTGCAACCTTTGGAAATGAAGAAGTAACAAAGTCTACCAAGAGCAGATTGGATAGTATTCAAATTGGTGATGAAAATTTGTTGAAGATCCATGAAATGCTTACCACAAATAAGTTTGTTCCATTATCAAAGGTAGATTATGAATGTGAACAGATCATTACTATTACTATTTAAAGATTTAACAGATGTTAAACAATCTTGCTTGCAGAACTTGTTTAAGCCACTTGTCAAGGGTGGCACTGATCTTAATTTTCAATTATCTAAGATCGAGCACGAAATTATCAACCATCCTAGATCAGCAATTGTTGTTGGTCGTTCTGGTTAGTGCCGGTAAATCTAGTCATACCCTTATAATTAGGGGAAAAAACTGACATTATTTGTTCTATTCGATACTTAGGAACTGGCAAAACCACATGTATTTTGTTTAGACTTCTTGCATCATACTTGAAAAGTCAACTCAATTGGATATCATCTTCAAACAACAACGAGGAGACATTATCTCCAAATGACAATGATGAGAAAAGGCAAATATTCATTACATCGAGTGAACACCTTTGCTGCAGAGTAAGGGAACATTTCAACAAGCTGCGAGAGTCAGCATTATTTGCTAATGAAAAGATGCCTGCAGCTCAATTTCATGAGTATGTTAATTTTGATGCAACAAATGTCACAAAGCTTGAAGAGGAAGATATGTTGAATGACATTCCAAATTCATTCCGTCAACTGACAGATGACCATTTTCCATTGATAATTACCTACAAAAAGTTTATCCGAATGCTCCAGGGAACTTATGGCATTGATTTTCAGAATCCAGTCAAACAACCAAAATTCGATGCAAATGATAATGATAATCATACAGATGATGATGACGGGAAATTACACCAACAAGACTTTATCGGTAGTGTGTCAGATGTATCATGGAGGCACTTTGTAGACTATAAACTCTTTGCAAATAAATATTGGCCTCATTTCAATGATTATTATAGGAAAAGATTTGATTGTGAACTGGTATTCTCTGAGTTTGCTATTATCAAGGTATGTGACTATATCTAAAATACCTACACCTGCATCATGAATTGATTTGACAGTTTATAGGATTACAGTTATTTTGATTTTGTTAGTTTAAATTTGTTTGCTACAATTTAACTGTAGTCCTACATAATGTTGTAAGATTTATACCATTAGTTAACTGTTAAGGTAGAGAAACTTCATGGCATATAATGTTCTATTTCAAATTTCTTAAGGGTTCTAATCCGGAGGGTATACACCTATTAAGAGAGGAATATCAGAAAATCAGCACCAAGAAATACCCAGCATTTCGTTCAAATCGTGATGAAATTTATGACTTATTTCAACAATACCAAAAAAAAAAGTCCCAGAATTTCGACTATGACTCAATAGATATGTAAGTGGTCTCAGATAATACATAATTTTTGTTTTTTGATAAAATCTTCAACCCTTTTCTTTTAGGACTATTTCTATCTTACGTTGTGCCAAAGCAGAACCACTTGGTGGATTGTATATTCATTAACTATATATTGATGAATGTCAAGACAACAACATTGTAGATTTAGCACTCATTTTAAAACTTTTTGAATGTGCTGACAGCATTTTTTTTGGCTGGAGATATATCACAATGTATTGCAAAGGGCTCATATTTCCGATTTCAAGGTAAGGATGGTTATATAAATAATTACCCCCACATGGTCCTTCTTTTAATAACTGTAATGACAATGGTTTAATCTTAATATAGATTTGAAGGCTTTGTTATATAATTGGGAACTTGATCGATCTAATCTTATCCACCGTTGGCCTAACAACAAAAAATCAAAAAAACCAAAACAGCCAGAACAGTTTGAAATGAATATTAATTATCGTTCACACAATGGTATCCTTAAACTTGCTTCATCAGTGATCGATCTTATTTCTCACTTTTTTCCTGATTCCATTGACCAGCTACGTGAATGTGGCGAAGTTGATGGTCCTCGACCTATTGTCTTCAACGGGTTTGAGGCTGAAACATTCTTTTTCCATGTCTTCTCTGTAGGTGAGAATGTGGAAAATAACATTGAATTTGGTGCTGAGCAAGTCATTATTGTACGTGACGATGAAACTAGACAGCGCGTGAAGAAAAAAATTGGTAATGCTTTTGTATTGATATTAACGGTGCTTGAGTCCAAGGACATGGAGTTTAATGACGTGCTGTTGTATAATTTCTTCACTGAATCACCTGCACAATCAAAGGTAAAAATATTATGTATTCTGTTTTGGATCACATCTTATCAGCCACTTAATAATTCTTGAATCATATGTGCACACATCTAGTGGCAAGCAATCCACTCTGCTTTTGACTTTTCTTACGAAAAACATTATATCCTTTCCTCAGAGCTCAAACATCTTTATGTTGCAGTGAAAAGAGCACGGCAGCAAATTTGGATATATGATGAAAACTCTGAGTGGAGCGAGCCAATTCGTATGTATTGGAAGCATCGTGAGCTGGTCAAAGTAATTGAAAATGTGAATATGATTGAAGATTTGCCTTCCTTGGCCAAGAAAAGCAGTTCATATGAATGGGATCAAAAAGGAAGGGTCTTTTTTGGACAAAAGCAATACGAACAGGTAAAAATCAAATTGAGATATTCTGCTATCATGCGTTAACTAAATGTAATCAAATCACTTTAAGGCGGTTCTCTGCTTTAAGAAAAGCGGGAATAAAGAGAACCACAAACTAGCAAAAGCATACCACTTTCAACAGGTTGCCAGAACTTCTATAGATGATTTTGATGATACCATTATGAAATTCAATTTCGTTCGTGCTGCCGAGGCCTTCAAAAAGTGTTCACGACCAATCCAAGCAGCTTCATGCTATCAGGTAAAATCTTTGTTCATTCTTGGCATTTTAAAATTTCAGAAATGGGATGATATCAAATAGTGACTAAAAAATTAATCACATCTAAATACTAATTTAAAAATCTAAAAACATTCAGGATATCAACATGCATGAAGAAGCCAGTGACATGCTTGTAAAACGGAATATGTTTGAGCTTGCTGCTGGTTGTTACCTTAAAGCCAAAAAATGGGACAAAGCGGGTAATAATTTCCAAAAGGCAGAGAAGTATACTGAAGCTTTTGATGCAGAAGTAATTAGCTTGATGCAAAGGTAAGCTCATCGTCGTGATACCCTAAACAATTTGATGCAAATTAATAGAGATTTTAGATTTCGATCAAGATATGTTTTGAATTCGTTCTTGTATATTTTCATAACAATTATATCCATAACCATGTAGTAGTAGTTATCCGCAGAAAGTATCCGCAACTGCAATTTTATTGGTGAGTTGGGATGGGTTAGGCATATTTAGAAATCAATTTGGCGATTTCAAATATTTTTTGCGGATAACTACATATTAGCATTATATTTCTAGATCCTACCATTTCTAATTTATAGTTTATAAAAATAATTGTAGCATCATCAGAAAAATTTTTAACGTAATTTAATTTTTTACTGAGGATCGTAAATCTTATGATAATCTAACAATTGTCTAAATTATTTAACAAGATACAAACAAGAAATTGATGAGAAGACATTTAACCGCATTTCCCGTCTTGCAAACATTCATTATCGTCGAGAAAATGACAAAGAGATGAGTCAAAAGGCTCTTGATATTCTTCCTACACAAGAGGAAAGAATGGAGCTTCTACAAGACCATGTACCAGAAGAGCTGTCGGAGGTTTATGAGAAGAGTGGTGATTATTTCTTTGTTGTTAAAGAACTATGCTCACATGGAAAGTTTGAAGAAGCAACTGATAAGATTATCAGCTTGAAAGACATCAACTCAAAAGACACCATTGAGGCATTAAAGTCATTAAAGTGTTTCTTACACCTATGCAGGGTTAATATAATAAAAGATACAATGACAAATACAAATGCCAAACATGAAGTGATTAGGCTTCTTGCCAAGGCAAGTAATTTTGTCAAGAAACTCAGATCACAATCATTGGAAAGATCTGAGGAGTGGAGAAGCTTTATGAAAGAGTTTCAATTATACTTGGCTTATTTAGATGGGGACTTCAATAGTGTTCATAAGTATATACAATTATTTAGAAGTTGCAGAGAGCCTGTTGCTGAATTTTGTGCAGTAAATATATTTCTGAAAATTATCCCTCAATCAGCACAGTATTTGAATGAAAGATTGCAATGTCTGTTAAGGTTATGTGAATTGACTTTTCCTTTTATAGCACCACATCAAAATGCTGAAAATATTGAAAAAATTTTGAAGATATCTTTTTTGTAAATGAAGTGGAGAATCATCCACATGAACAGAAATTTTTTTTAGAAAATCCACTTCTTCATATGGGATGAAATTAATCATAAAATCGTAGATGATTGGCATGTTTATGAAGTGGATGTTTTGCACCTGAAAATGAAGCAATTCCTTGCTTCACACATCTTTGAGCTCATCTATGAGGTTGACTATAAAAATAATTCTATTCCAGATGTAAGTTCACACATCTGCCAATTTTTTGCATCCTGTCAAAAATCAGATTGCAGAAATCATCATGTGGTTCCAACACCATTAGTTCTATATCAACGCTTGAAACTTGCAAGTCTTAATTATACTGTTGTTCGACAGTTGGATGTAATATTTCATCAACATGAGCTACTTAGAGAAGATCAGAGTGTAAAGGTTCTTGGAATACAAAGACGTTGGGCTGAAAAACTTGTTAAATTTCATATTCGTTATCAATCACCACAAATAAGCTGTCCAGAAATAACTCAAATGATACTCTCAGAGCTTCCTAAACACACACGTTCTGGACTTATCCAGCTTGCTCAAAATTTATGGTTGTTTAGAGAATGTGTGAATGCAGACAACTTTGCAGTTATGTTAAAATGCATGTTTATTTTGCAACAGCTGAGGGACAAATTGTGTGTTGATAAATTTCATCAGGAAATGTCAAAAACAATAAAGCTTTTATACCCTTATGAATGCCCATTGGTTTTGAGGGCTATGGACATCACCAAGCAATTCCAGTTGGAAGGTGACTTTCATTATTCTTTGATAATCTCTACAAAAACAGAATTTGTTATGCAATCTCACATGCAAAAGTTTTTATTCAATATGCTATAAACTACACTCAACAAGTCCAACTGGATAGCTCTGATGCCTTTGGTGATCTTTTATCTCTCATGGAGTTTACAATATCATTGATTTTTGCAGCTAGTCCTAAATATTGTGATTTTTGTCTCCCTCAAGCATATCTTGTTAATTATTTTAAAGCATTTACTGTGAAACCACTCACTATGGATAGGCAATATGCTTATGACAGAGAAAACTATTTAGCTGCAATTGATGATTCTTTCAATCAAGTTAAACAGTTTCTTCTCCAAAAGGAATGCGGATCGAATATTACCCTTCGACTGATACAGCTTTTGGTCCTCATTGGCTTGAATGAATCTGCTTTTGCACCAAAGATCTTCAATCTTTTCAACCACTTAAACAATAAAATCTTTTCTCCTAAGGCCAAGAAATATCTGACTGAAGATTATATGAAAAGTTAAATATTCAAATAACTTTTTCATATGGCTATATAACATACACAATTAGATAAATATATAACACTGTTTTTCTTAACATTTAGATGACTCTATATCAAGGTCACTTTGTTGCCTTATGAACACTTTGAATGATGACTTGAAGGAGAATGGCTTTGACTCTCTGGTTATTGTCTATTACAATTGTGGAAGCATCTCAAAATTTCACAGCTTTGAGCTACATGGTGTTGTGAAGCTTAAATACACTTCTAGTTAGGAATTCCATTTTGCTCTTCAACAAATCATATCACCAGTAGCTATTAACTCAATGCCTGTCACTATTGTTAATGAAGGTGATAATAATAATGATGATGATGATAATGAACAGTTTGAAGCTTCTGATGAGACCCAAGAGTCAGCTACAGAAATCCAAACATGGTTTCAGCAGATCCACAATTCTCCCAATGCCAATAAAGCTGCTAGAAAAATCCAAAACTGGATTCATAAAACTCTTGATCGAAAGAAAACCCGGCAACTTCATTATGATCCATTGCTAGAAAAGACTTATAATGAAGTAACAATTTTTTGCCAGAATTCATTGAGACATAAAAGGTGCAAGTATATTATTCTCTTGAGAGGACCAACAGTAGATGTGATTGTGAAGCTAAATAAACTGCAGAGCAGAATGGATGTAATCAAAGGAAAACTGAATAAAACAATTAATAATCACTCTATTGATATGGACAAAGTTGAAGAATGTGTTGAACTGCTAGAGGATCTTAAGTAATGTTGACACCATTTTAATGCTTCTTTAATGATTTCTTTTCTATTATTAAAATTTGTGTTTTTAGGTACATCCATTATGAGAATGTTAAGCTAACATTGGGCTCATTGTCAACAACTGAGAATGTAATGGAACACATGCGAGAAAACATTGAATGGTTGAAAAATAAATTACAAGAGGCACATGAAATAATTAACCAGGTTTATGGATGGCTTGATAAGTGCAAGTATGTAATGAAATCTTGGTGATTATAAATTTTGATTGGTTTCTATTTTTCTTTTATTTTCAGAATTTATAAATATTAGTATAGCAGATAAGGTAAATTTTTATTAATTGGTATACTTTTAGTAAAGGCATAGGTGTAAATTAGGTCCTTTGTAATAAATATTTAGAGTATCAAATTTTATTAGAAATAAAAAATGATTGAAATTCAGTTACTTTTTTTGTATTAAAAAAAACATCATAATGAAAGTGTCAATATTGTTTAATTCATGTCATATGTTGAATGTTTTTTGAACTGATTGATTGGCAAAACATGAATTCATATAAGGATTTTTATTATTCTCATCCTAAGTTTTGGATACATGGGATAATGACAATTATAATATTAATCAGAACTAATTTATATATTTCTAAAGATATGGGTATAACCTGGGTTTGAGTAAAATTGAAAATCTTGGGTATGGGTTCAATTATTACTCTAGATTATTAAAACTTGATCATTGTTATTGTTATTATAAGCTAATTATTTTTATTATAAGTAAATTACTTTTATTATAAGCAAAATGAACATGTCAAATTTTAGATTTGACTTTTGAATTGGTTTTTAGTTTTTTTTTAGACATTCAGAAATGAAGTTGCTCTTGTCTAGATTGATTTGTTCTATATTATCATTGAAAAAGATTTGCCCATCTTTTTCTTCATGCTTTTCATCATATATTAATGGTTGAAGAGCCTCAAAATTCAAATCATGTTTGGACCAAAGGATTTGCTTAAGAATTTGTTTATTATTACTCGTTGTAGATTTACTTTCTGATTCATTTGTTGTCTCTGTAAGTAAATCAAAAGCTGTAGGTTCTACAACCTTTAAAATCATTTGGTGTGTGTCGCATTCCTTTGAATTTTTGTTTATTTCTTTGTGACTCCTCAAAATATTTTTCATGCGCCAATTCTAATTTCCTTTTACGTGAATTTTCCAAATACTGTCTGTACTCTTTACAGTACACACTCAAACGATATATTCCTTTTAAAGACCAAAATGTTTGTGATCCATTAACAACTCTACCAATTGGTTCATGTTCTTTAAAAGCACTTTGTTTTGGGTTATGAATTATAGAATACTTCTCTCGTATGCAGTTTATGTATTTAGCAAGTTCTACTCTATAGCTTTCATATTCATAAAGAGTAACTTTATGTGTTTCAGGGAGTTCATCAAGACTTAAATATTTAGCTGCTTCAAGTATCTTCTTAGACAATATATTTGATATTCTTTTGATCACTACACAATCATCAGAACGTGCTACCAAGACCCAGTTGTTATGCCAAGCTAGAACCACACCAGCTGTTCCATCTCTTCCACTAGTTGATGGTACAATCAATCTTGGTTCAATAGTGTCACCTTCCTTGCTGGTATCTGCTTGAGCCAATTCTGGAATTTCATCTTTAAATGAAAGTCCTCCAATTGGCCTTTTGTAAGTTTCATAAGGCTCGGGAACTGTGATTGGTACTCCTTTGGGTCCAAATACTGTGATTTCACGATCATTTCTGGCCAATATTAAACCAACTATGATTGGTGGTTTTTCATGACCATATGTTAATGAGGAGGATGGACTGGGACCAAGTATTTTTGCAAAATCAAATAATAGAAATAAGAAAAAATTTTTGCAGATAAGCTAAAATGATCAATAATCACCACACCAAGAAAGGCTCAATACTTACTTATTTGAATCAGCTAGTTCTGTAGTTTTCTGTCTTATTCTCCTGACTCTGTTGCACTCAAAAGACATTTTTAAAAATTAAAAATTCTTTTATTTTTTTTATTTTTTTTAAAGGTGAAACAAAAGGGCGTTAAAATATTATTTAAGACGCGTAGCGTTGTACGAATAGGGATGGTATATAACCAGTGTATAAAATTCAATGTGCGGAATGTGCGGGTGTAACATCGTACATTAGCAGTTTTCTGCAGATAGTTTCTAAA